AATAGTATTCAATATATAAATATGGATAAATGAACTATAATTTGAATCAGCAAGGGTTTGCCCCAATATTAGATGGCAGTTATTGCAAATACGCAAATAGTATTCAGTATATAAGTACGGAGAAATATACTATAATTTGAATCAGCAAGGATTTGCCTCAAAATTAAATGGCAGTTTTGGCGAATACATAAAACAGTACTCAAAATATAAATAGGATAAATAAACTATTATTTGAATCAGCAAGGGTTAGCTTCAAAATTAGATGCAGTTATTGCAGATACACAAATAGTACTTAATATATAAATATGAAGAAATAAACTATTATTTGAATCAGCAAGGGTTAGGCTCAAAATTAGATGGCAGTTATTGCAGATACACAAATAGTACTCAATATATAAATGTGGAAAAATAAACTATTATTTAAATCAGCAAGGGTTAGGCTCAAAATTAGATGGCAGTTTAGATTAGATTGCAAGGGCACCAATGGTGCTCATAATATAAATAGCCTATGGATGAATAAACTATTATTTGAATCAGCAAGGGTTTGCCTCAAAATTAGATGCAATTTTAGCAAATACACAAATAGTACTCAATATATAAATATGAGTAAATGAGGGTTTGCCCAAAATTGGATGATAGTAATTGCAAATACACAAAAGTATTCGATATATAAATATGGATAAATAAATTAATATTTGAGTCACCAAGGGTTTGGTTTGCCTCAAAATTAGATGGCAATTTTTGCAAATACAGAAATAGTACTCATTATATAAATATGGAGAATAAACTATTATTTAAATCAGCAAGGGTTTGCCTCAAAATTAGATGGCAGTTATTGCAGATACACAAATAGTACTCAATATATAAATATGGATAAACATAAAAAACATAATAGTAATTTATATATGCTAGGATACAGAAGGTATCATGAAGTTTGGACAAAATCATACCTTCAGTACTTATCAATGAGATGCCTCATGAATTTACTCTTAAAACTATTATACGAAGATTCTTTGATCAAATTTGGAATGTTATTCCATATGTTTGGGCCAGCAATTTTTATAGATTTTTGCACCAGGGTGGAGTTTGTCCTTCTAACAAAATAAGAGCCTCTGCCAGCTGAACGGGTGTTATAACTATGGACATTGCTGCAACTGGTAAAATAATTGTTAAAAGCAATGGGCAGCATACCGAATTTGAACTGGAACATGACTTTCGCCACTTCAAGTTTATACACATCCTCAAGTTTAAGGATGTTCATTTTTATAAATTGGTCCCAAACTCTGTCTAGAACGAGCACCAGTCATCAATCTCAGGGCACGGTTTTGAAGAACAGATATTGTTTTGAGATGGGATTTGCATGCCGAGCCCCATGCCACAATTCCATATTGTAGATGAGAGTGAAATAGTGCAAAGTAAACAGTTCTTAATATACTTTTTGGCACAAATCGGCTTAGTTTAGTCATTGCACCAATAGCTCTAGACAACTTGCTTGCTAGATGGTGAATATGCATTTGCCAATTGATTTTACTATCTAAAATTACACCAAGATACTTGACCGAGTTGCAAATAGTTAATACAGAGTCATTCAGGATAAACTTTGGGATGGAGTTGGAAGTTTCTGGGTGTTTGTTACAGTTAATTAACATGATTTGTGTTTTGTTAGGATTTACTGTAAGCTTATTTAAAGTGAGCCAATTGGATATATGAACTAGTTCATTATTAACTATACGCTCCAAGTCTGTCATATTCGCGGCAGAGAATGTAGCGCTAGTGTCGTCTGCGAAAAGGTTTATTGAAGCTTTAGTGGCATTAACTATATCGTTGATATGGATAAGAAAAAGGGTAGGTCCTAATACAGAGCCTTGAGGGACCCCAACAGACACAGCTTCTCTCCGAGATTCCGAACCAGCCAAACATACAAATTGGCATCTACCTTCTAAGTAACTAGAAAACAACTTATTAGCAACCCCACGAACACCATAATGATTCAATTTACTAATTAAAATATTATGATCCACGGTATCAAAAGCTTTTTTTAAATCCAAAAATATACTGCAGCCTACTACACCCTCATCTATAATATTATAATATTTACTAACAATGTCAAGTATTGCATGAGATGTGCAGTGTCCATTGCGAAAACCAAACTGATCATTATTTAAAATTGAATTTTTTTCTAAAAAAGAGTTTAATCTTTTCAATAATAATTTTTCAAAAAGAGTCGAAAAGCAGGATAAAATTGAGATAGGGCGATAATTTGAAACTTTATCCTTGCTACCGGATTTATAAACAGGAACCACTCTGGCAATTTTCAAATGCTTCGGAAAAATTCCTATAGATATAGAGGTGTTAAAGAATCGACATAAAATTGGACTAATAATATTTTTCAACAGTTTAAGCATATAGATAGATATATGGTCATGACCCTCAGCCTTTCCAATTATAAAAGAATTACAAACTATTTCTATTTCATGAGGGGTGGTCTCCTCCAAGAACATAGATGATTTGTTAGGTGGATTCAAATACTTAAAAAATTCATATCCATTATTATTGGAAAACGTGGAAGCGAGAGAAGGCCCAATCTGGGAAAAATATTTATTAAAAAGATCGCAAATGCCATCTGGCTCTTGAATTAAGTTGTTTTGAGTCTCATCATGTAAACAGTTTGGATGAGATTTCTTACTTCTTTGACTAATAATGGAGTTAATGGTATTCCAAGTCTTCTTCGTGTCAGTCTTATGTTTCTCAAAGCATTTAGCATAATAATCATCTTTGGCCCTACTTTTAATATGACATAGAGTATTGGAATACTTTTTATATTGTTGCTTTTCAACTTCAGTGCCATTCAAAAATAAAGATTTATGCATTTTGTTTCGAATTTTGGCAGAACGTAACATACCAGGAGTGATCCAGGGTTTTCGCATCAACCGGCATTCTTTCCTACTTAATTTTCGCAGTGGGGCATGTTTATTAATTAAATATTGAACTTTGGTAACAAATTCATCAAATAATATGTTAAAATTATCTACACCTATTTGCGGAGGCAAAATTTCACTGCTAAATATAGTCAGGGCTTCATTTAAAAAATTTTCAGGATTGAAATGCTTCATGTCTCGCTTCATATCAGCTTCATGCTTGGGAGCTGCATGTTGCATGTTAGTCTGGCAGAATATAGGAAAGTGATCAGTTATATCATCAAATAACACACATGGCTTCATAGTCTTATCAGTCAAATTGGTATACATATGATCAATTAAAGTTTCAGAATTACTGGTTACCCTGGTAGGAATTGTGATTAGTGGAATTGTGGCATGGGACCGGAGCATATTCAAATATTGCTTCGTGAAGTTTGTATTTGCAATCAAGTTTATATTTATGTCTCCAACAATGAAAAACTTTTTCTTACCTTGAGATAGATTGTGTAGGCTAATTTGAAGATTATTTAGGAAGTCATGGGAGTCAGAGTTTGGATGTCGATAGAGGACCCCAATGGTTAAAGAAGTAGACTTAGCAGATGTTATAGGAATTTCAACCCATAACTCTTCACAACCAACAACATTTAGATTATAACAACTTATGAAATTTGGTGAAAAGTAAGATTTTAAATACAATCCAACACCACCAGCATTTGTAACTGTTGGTGTATGGTAGAAGTCATAGCCTTCCATATCTACATTTGAGAAAGGATCAGTTTTTAATTTGGTTTCTGAGACTGCTATGATGGATGGGGTGGATTCTAATTCGTATACAAGTCTGGACAATTCATCTACATTTTTTTGTAGGGATCGAATATTCAAGTGTGCTATAGTGACTGAGTGTTTATCAGATCGAGTGAGGGCAGTTAGTACATCTTTTCGATCAAAAAGCGAAACACAATTTTCTACATTTTCAAAATCAAAATCAGTGGTATTCAAAACCGTATGTTGTAAATCATTACCACTAAAGTTGGGACTATTATTAAATGGTGAGACAAGATTAAAACATGCATAACAGTAGTTGGAAGCCCTGGGCACTAAGGATGTATCATCTATTGAAAAAGAACATATAGTGTGTGTTCTGTAACCACAAGTATTACAAATAATAAAATGATCTAAACATGGATTATTACAAGAGGCACAAATGGGTATGGTCGACATTTTAAAACAGTTATAAAATATACCCACTTAATTGAAGGCTGTTCATTCCAATTTTTGAAGATCAGCCAGCTTTGTGAAAGCAATTCTCGGAGTGTCCTTGTTTTTTCTCATATATATATTCCCATTTGTGGTCCAAAGCCGTTCGTATTTATTTGTTTTTCTTGAAATGCGAGCGCTGTAAAGCAAGTTATTTCGGAAGTCCGTTAGATTCTCATTTATGTACAGAGATTTCATGCCCTTTATTCCAAAGTTTTCAATGCTTGATGTAGTACGCTTTTTATCTAAAAATTCATTTCTTTTATTCCTGGCGGTAAATCTCACAATAATTGGAGGGATTTTTGTTTTGTCACGACGGGGAAGTCTGTGCGAAACAGATATGTCACATTTTTCCACTTTGATATCCAAAAGTTTTCCCATTGCCATGACTATGTCGTCTGTGCTTTCACCTACTGTGTAAGGGATGCCATGCAATTCCAAGTTTTCTCTTCGAACATACTGAGCCAAGTCCTCGAAATCCTTGTTAAATCTATGTTGAAGGGATATAACCAGTGCTTCAAGTTCTTTGTTTGACGCTGTTAATTCTGCTACTTTGTTGTGGAGGTCATTTAAGTAACTCTTTTGAATTTCAAACTCAGCGTTAATAAAATTCTGGCTGGCTTTAACCACTTGCACATCTTGCTGAAGAGCATTATTCACAGCATGAATGCCATTCAGGTCTTCCATCAGGGTATTCACTTTGCTCATCAGGCTGTCATTCTGCTTAAACATGCCTTCTAAGCGATCAGCCATTTCACGTGTGTTGTTTAACACGGATTCGTCTATTTGGGTCGAAATTTTTTTGGTCCATGGCAAAGAATACATATGGACTATGCCGGTCCAGTTGATGGGAAAATGCTTCTTGTTATTGTTGATGCGTTTAGCAAATGGCCAGATGTGTGGATTACATCGTCAGTTTCTGCTCATGAAACTATTGAAAAAGACAGACTTTCATTTGCTACACATGGATTACCACTAGTTGTAGTCACTGACAACGCTGGTTGTTTTGCAGGAGACGAATTTGCAACATTTCTAAAGGCAAATGGAGTGAAGCACTTGTTTTCACCACCGAGACATCCGGCTTCTAATGGCCAAGCTGAATCAATGGTGAAACAAGTTAAACTTGGATTGAAGAAACAAGCACCAGCATCTTTGTCAGTCAGACTTGTTCGGTGGTTATTTAAATACCGAACTACACCACATACAACGACTGGGCAGACTCCGTCGGAATTACTTTTTCGTCGTAAGATTAGAACGCATCTTGATCTAATCGCACCTTCATCACGTTTGAAGAAGTCAGCAGAGAATGTTCCAAGTGGAATAATAAGAACTTTTAACATTGATGACCCAGTTTTTATTACAGAAGTCGTTGGATCTCGTTTCAAATGGTTACCTGCCACAGTAACTGAAGTTATGGGTCAAATGTGTCGTGTTCGTTTGAACGATGGAAGAATTTTTAGACGTCATCCTGATCATATTCGACATCGATTTTCTGCTGATGATGTAATGGTACGTGAAGGGAATCAAGATTTTTAGAATGAGTGAGAGAATACCAGCTGCAATTCCAACAGGAATACCTGATGTTGATGTGGGAGATAGAAATTCAACTCCTACCTCTACTGCTACTGAAGAAACTGATGAATCTCAAAATGACAGAGACAATGTAGACCCAGTTCCTAATTTTCCAGAATCGTCCAGTAATTCAAACATACCTTATAAAACAAGATCTGGCAGAATATCAAAACCGCCAGAAAAACTATCTCTATAAGAAGTTTTATAATTTTGTACTGGACAGAATTATAGTTGTAAAAGTTTCTTTGAATTTCTTAGTTTCTTTGTGAAATTCTGTACGTTGCTTGTATATTTGTTTTTGCAATATTTTATACCATTTGATTGGGAATGTTGGAATTCGGGTAATTGTGTTGTACATTTATTTTTAATATTTGGTTCTTGAATTTGTACAATATTTCCAAAAAGGGGGGAAGGAGTGTTATATATTATGTTGAGCTTACTATCATAGCTTGTTTACTACTCTATCTGCTTGTGTGCTATATTGTTACGTCACAATGCTGTCTAGTGCCGTAGGTTGTTTTTCCTCTGATTAGTGGTCTTTTGTTCTGAACTAAGTTGACGGACGGATGTCCAAATAAATCGCGTGCAGTTTTGTAATGAGTCTGTATTCATTACTTGTTATAAAGATATAACATAGACCACTTCATTCCCTAAACTAGAGCCTATTATTGCCAAATTGTAGTCCAGATTGTAACAAGTATTTATAGGTACAAGTAACAGTATAAGTAATTATAACTAATTAAGGTAGGACAACGGGGAATAGGAATATGTTGGTTACCAAGGTTATAAGTAATGTTTTTTTTCAATCTTAGATATTGACTTCTGCGAGGACAAAGGAATTCGGATTGTTATTTCACAGGATCATTTCTTCATTTACTTGATGTAACACAATTAATTTATCATAGATAAGACATCAGACTGCCAATTTTGATGATGTAGACGCCCTTTATATTCAATAAGCTCGCCATTGAATTGGTCATAACAAACGACCTGAAAAACAGAAAATAAATCTGCGAGTAGAATATTCAAGGGTTACATATTAGGAAATAACACTCACTAGTCACTACCCTACACTTTTGTTGAGAAGAAATTTTCATTTTGAGTAAATATTGATCATTAGTTATTTATCTTTAAAACGCAAGTTGAAAGACCTGAATTCTGGTTGGGACATAGGGTAAATAATCTTCGCAAACCATGCAAGAACTCTCAAACCACACTAACCATTTGTATGTTGGCCTTCACGTTAACTTCACAGCAGAACCTTAACCTAGGATATAATTTTGTATACACACAAGACAAATCATGGAATACCACAGCAAAAAAAATAAAGGGGAGAATCCAATATGTCTCGACTGGTCGCCTAATTACAGTATTAGGTACAGGAGTTAAATTATACCTTCTACAACCCTCACAAAGAAACACACCACTCAAATAGAAATAAAAGATCATGTATATGGAATATCAGGAACCCAACAAAAAATGCACATGCAGATGTGAGCAGCCATATGCGGAATAATCTTATGCTATGCATGCTATAGGACAAAATAAAGAGCCAACTAGAATGCAAAACAAAACAGATGTGGAGAGCTTAGCTGCTTGTTCGAAAATAACACTGTGCAACAAATTTGAAGTGAAAAAAAAGTACAAGACATATAAATCCTGTATCGGTGTAGGAAAAGTATGCTGATTCCAAATCTGACATTTATTTCTCTGGATTAGGTACCATTTTGATGTACTTTGTTATTCCTCATTTAAAAAAAAACACCGAATTCACTAGTTTAAACAATATTTGTCCTCTTAACCCTCTTGTGTAGAGTGTCATCATCCTTTTTTCCGGCAGTAGTCTGCCAACATACCAATATTCCATTTTCCTTTAAATCGTTTCTCTATTAATGAAATATCCTGATGGAATCTTTCGCCATGTTTATCACTCACATTGCCAAGATTCTCAGCAAAAAAATCCAAATGAGAGTGGAGCACATGAACTTTTAGAAACATGTTACATCCCATATATATCATGAAAATGACGCACTAGATCATTCACACAACTTGCACATAGTCTTCTGAACGATGTTTTCCCAGGAAGTTATCGCAAACTTTCTTGAATGACTTAAAGGCACATTTTTCTTTTCTCGTGAGATGTGTGTCAAAAGTTTCATCAAAAACAATTTTTTCGAATTTGGGGATCTATGAAGATACCTTCTTTTATTTTAGCTTGGCCCAAAGAAGGAAACTTTTCTGCAATATATGCAAATGCAAAGGAATTCTTGTTCAGTGCTTTCACAAACTGTTTGAACAAACCGAGTATATTATGCAGAAATGGTTTGTGTTTGATGTTTTGTTTCCCTTGCTCAATTTCATCTCTAGTGGGCCAGTGCTTGCGTACATAGTGTTCAACTCTTGCTCTAGAGTCCCATAAGCACAAGAAGCAACAAAATTCAGTATAGCCTGACTGAAGGCCAGTGAGCATGGCTATAACCTTGAAATCTGCACAAACATGCCATTTATAGACGTTATAATGTATACTTGTTAAAATTATTTTTAAATTTTCATATGATTCTTTCATGGTTGTGCTGTAAGCAGCTATAGGAACAGATGGCAGGGTGTTACCATTGTGAAGCAAAACAGCTTTTATGCTTTCCTTGGATGCATCTAAGAAAAGTCGCCAGGTGGTGTTATCAGATGGTATTTCCAGTTGTTCAAAAAGTCCAACAATGTCATTGCAGAAGAATAAATCATCTTTCAGAGTGAACAAAACATGCAAGTTTGTGCACGTTTTCTGTACAATGTTATTTTCACCCCTTTTCTAAGAAGCTTTCGTTTTTTAAGCCTTGATTCAAGAAGTTCAGCTTTGGTTTTCGGCGTCTCCCTTCACCCTGAAATGCGATTTTTTTTTATAATTTCTTTTAAATTGTGTATGTAGAATTCGTATTTTTCAGCATGGTGAAAAAATAAATTACTGATTACTGTCTTTGGTTAAATAAAGATCTCTGCATAGGTCATTTAGAGCATCTTGAGAAAATAGTATTGGTTTATTATTGCTTTCTGAATCGGAAAATTCTACTTTTTCCTCACTGTAATGTTCATCCCCACTGCTTGAACTCCACATCTCCTGATCAGGGGGTTTTGGTACAGGTAATTCTTTTGAGTGTTCAACTGAGCGCATTGCTGATTGCAAATTTGTGTAAACAATCTGTTTCTTTTTTTGCTGTTGTACAGCCGGTATAGTCCTGCTGACAAAAATAGCAATCATTGGAATGATCTTTCTGCTCTCGTCAAATTATTGGCACACCAACATTCATGTGAACATTCTTTTTTGCATACCATGCGCTCAATATTTTCACACATGTAAGGCAACAGGCATGAGGAGCCCATGACTCGTCTTGGTCTCCTATATGACAATGAAAGTACGCTTTGTACAATTTCTTGATATGGCTGGTAATGCTGCGCCTTTCTTTAGCAAATGTTAATTCGCCACATATGTAGCAGAATTTGCTTGGATCCTTTTTTCACTGTCTTGAAGTCATCGACAAAGGCTATACTACGTCTAAAGACATTCATCAAATACAGATTTTGAGGTATGGGTTATATTGATGCGGGCTGCACAGAGAACTCATGTGGGGCAACTCGTGAGATTCCCGCCGCTGTTGCGAATCTCTGAGGTAGGCGTATCCGGCTGATATGTCTATGCATACACAAGCAAATATAGACGAATGGTTACCAAAACAACCATTGAAGGTGAATCTGCCTTATCTAACTTTCATATTGAAAAAAGAATGTTTGTAAGAAAACTAAACTTTTTGTTCCTACTTTTTTCACTCAATAGTTTTAAGTTTCTTTTTCCTTGATATTTTTTAGCCTTCATTAAAAAATATAATATGTGACCGCAAAGATGGCAGTAACCCATTTTTAACGTTTCTACTGAAATTCACGACTGTGGAAATTTTGCAAAAACTATACCTAATTCAACAAACAGAAAGTCAGAAATAAATTTTCTACGTTACTAAGTATACAAAAATTGCTGCAGATACCCTGTACTTTTTTTAGTGTTGCACAGTGTAATAAGCAATCTCAGAGACAATAACTTTATTATGGCTGTTCAACATTCTCATGAAAATAATGAGTATGTGCAAGTGAGGAGTGTCCCAACATTCTGTCATGGTCTTTCTTTTGATGTTCTATCTAATTACATACAAAAACTATATGTCAGTGTGGTTCTGAAATAATAACAACAATTTTTTGAAACAATTTTTTAAATTTCAATGTCTTTAAATTTAAGGGGAGGGAATTCCACAGCTTGGGCCCAGTATAGCACAGGGCATGCTGGCTCACAGATTTACTCATTAAAGGTATGAACAAATCAGAACTACTTCTTCGATTGGAAGTAATTTTAGTTAGTATGTCGTCGAAGCAGTTTGGCAAGGAGTTGTTATGAAAATCATAGACTAACGATAATACTTCAAATTTTATTATATCTTCAACTTTGAGTATATTTAGCGTTTTATAGAAATGTTTAAACACTTTTCCTGAAGACAAATCTTAAAAAATTATTACAAGTACTTTGCAATTTTGAGACGAGACAAGTGTTTTATTACCATGGAGCCAGACTGAGCAACAATATCGGATATGACTGAGTAGTAGTGATTGAAACATTGCTAGTAAAGCTGATTGCTTAACGCGGATACTTTGGCAGCAACTGCTAGTTTCTTTTTGTTTTACCAATAACATGCGATATTTGTGATTTCCAAGACAGATTTTCATCAAAGATAACTCCTAGAAATTTTATTTCTTTCCCTCTTTCAATTTCATTGCCATTGAGCAGTAGTGGCAATGACATTTGGACATGTCATTAATGTATTCTAGAAAAAATAATGTGCCAAGTAAAGATCCTTGAGGAACTCCGTGTTTCATGACACAAATATTTGTAGAGAATGAGTTGTCATATTGCACTATTTGTTTCCTGT